TCTCGCTCTCTGCCCCTCCCCCACTTGTGCTTGCTCCTTGCTCTCTCAAAAATAAAGAATAAAAAAATTAACAACAAAAAAGATATTTCCTATCCTTAGATTTGTGATTCTTTGTAAACCACATATCACTTATAGTACACAATGAATTAATTTGAAATAAAAATATTGTACGTTAGAAGTAACAGTTTATTGCAGTTTTATTTTGCTTTAAATCTTAATTTGTTTAATGTGATCATAAATTTTATCACAATTCTTACAATTCTGCCTTGATTGTTTCCTTCATATTCTATATATTAAAAGCTTGAACCTTTTAGAAGTGACTCCATGTTAGTAACAAGACCTATCCCAATGGAGAATATTTTATAGCTTTAAATAATTACCTCCCTAAGTAAAGTTTTAACAAGTTTCCATATTCCTGTGTTTATACTTTTCTTTTTCTTTCTTTATATATATTTTTTTCGTTCCTAGATATCTGTGTTTCTTGCGTCCTCAAATTTCCCTGACTTAGATCAAACATGATTTCCTAGTGAAATCTTTCCTGTCTTATGAATGAAAATTGCTACCTTATCTTTATCTTGGGCCACCTATCTGCCTATCTGCTTTATTTTTCTGAATTGTCCTATCATTAACTGACATTTCATATATTGTACTAAGTAAGTTGTCTTTTATTTATCTTTACTCACTGAACTAGAAATTCAAGAAAGCTTGTTTGTTTTTGTGACTGCTGTATGTCCAGCACATTCAGACATACTAGGCACATAGTACACACTTGATAAATGTTTATGGAATGAATTAATTTTATTCCCCATTGATGTAGCCTGGTAATCATAGCAATATCCATTCTATGTATCATGTTTATAGGTTTTGAATTTTGCCATCCATTTTCAATTCATATAGTTAGTCTTTTCCTTTTTTTTAACATATAAGTGAGAAATTTTTTTCTAGAAGTTTTCTTACCATTAACATTTAGATATAATTTCTTGATAGAATGAACATTAAAATTATGACACATTATGTAAGGTTAGGTTAGGTTCTGGGGATAGCCACCTATTGGCACTGGTGGGAAAAACCTGAGGGACTAATGCAAAGGGATTTTATGACTCAAATGAAAGGAAGACTGCTGAAAGTTAATAAGCTAGACATTCACCTCAATAATTTAAGAACAAAATAGATTTAAATAGTAGAAGAAAGAAAATAATGATGGTAAGGGCAGAAATTAGGGAAATCGAAAACAAAGATGAGAACAGCTAAGCCAAAATATGGTTCATTAAAAAAGGAGGTGGGATGGGGGATGGAAGGGAGTCAAGCAGGGAGAAAAGAGCGAGTAAGAGAGAGTGCATGTAACCTAAGACAAGCAAAGGCAGAAAGGCACTAATAAACCAAACTGGGAGTCAAATGAGACCTTATCACCACAGTGAAATGATTAAACGTATAGTAAGACAGTATATACTATGCTTTAAAAATAGTCTTTAAACATATATGAAATGGAAACAATTATTTTAAAAGTACTAAAACTGACTTCAGAAGAAATGGAAAAATCTTGATAGTCTTGTATTGATTAAATCAATTTAAATATTAATTAAAATTTTCCAACAGAGAAAGAAACAGCCCCAGATACGTTTACAATCTAATTCCAGAAAACCAAGATGATTAGACCCCAGCCAATTTTATGAGTTTAGGATTGTTTTATTTGATATGGAAACAAAACAAGTACATTCCAAGAAAAAAAAATTACAAGACTTAAGAGTCTTGAAGCTAACAATGTTCCTTTGTATGCTCAGAAAGCCACCTTCTAAATTATAATTCAGTCACAGATAGGCATATTTGGTTAATTGGAAATGGAACATTTTTTTTCCATTTAAAATCTAATTATATTTCTTTGTTTATATCCTATGTCAGTCTTTCATATATTTAGACTGTCAATTTACCCTGAGGTTCATCAGCCCCCTAATAAAATGATAAATATGGGATTTTGAACTTCTAAATCTGAGGCCTAGAGCTTTATTTCTTCCTGTTTATAGACTAGCACTCAGCTTTCTAGTTAATATGAAGGACTTTCTAAGGTCTGTGCCAAGACTTCCTTTTGGTTTTGTCATTTTTCATTCCTTTATATGAGCCTTAATTATAGTCAATTATTTTATTTCATGTTCTTTGAACATTTACCTGAGAGCCTTCTCCTTGTCCTCTACTTGCTGAATGACTTTCACTATCCAATTTATGTTCGACTTTTTCTATAAGGCATTTTACAACCTTTTGAATCTAAATTTCCATAATAATGTGTGTGTAGCTTATTTGATCTTTTATACTTATGTATGTGTATAGTAAGTAGAGCCTTGAAATACATAAGAACTAAGTCCTTTGTAAATTATTACATATCTCAGGACCATTAAAGAGTAAAATGTTAATTTTATGCGCTGTGTATGTGGTAACAAACACCTAATATAGTATTACCAACTTAACCACTTTTAGGTGCACAGTTCAGTAGTGTGTAGTGTATTGTGTCTTGTCTAGTGTCTGTATTGTGAAACAAATCTCTACAACTTTTTCATTTTCCAAATCTGAGATCCCATTACCTATTAAGCAACAAACTTTATTTTTCCCTCTCCACCTAGCCCTTGGTAATCACCATTCCACTCTCTGTCTTCATGAAATTGACTACTCTAGATATTTTATGTAAGTGGGACCACACAGTATTTGTCGCTCTATGACTGGTTCACTTCACTGAGCACAGTGTCCTCAAGGTTCATCCATGCTCTCGCATGTGATAAGTCTTCACTGTGTGCACTTGTTAATTTGTTGAGAGTTTCCATGTCTTTGGAATGATCACTTTCCTAGACATTTCCATTATTTTGCTAATATCTTTCTTAGTAATGATGGGGGGGGGTGTTGCCTGGGTGACTCAGTTCGTTAAGCGCCCAACTTTGGCTGAGGTAATGAATTCACGGGTTCTTGCTTTTCCAGCCCCGCATTGACCTCTGTGCTGACAGCATGGAGTGTGGAGCCTGATTCAGATTCTGTGTCACCCTCGCTCTCTGCCCCTCCCCCACTCATGCTCTGTCTCTCTCAAAAATAAAATCAATATTAAATAATGTATAGGGGTAGGTTTTCATTTATTTATTTGTACTTGTGTCAGAGAAGCATTGTCCCTGTAAATCTCTTGAATATTGTGAAGGGCAAGAATACAATAAAGCAAAGACATGGTACACTGCAGGTATCTGAAGTCAGGGGAGAGTGGTGGTGGTTTGGGCTGATTTACAATTTATTCATTTGTTAAATAGCTTTCCATATACCTATTTGTCAGTGAATACCACAAAAATTTACGCCCAGTGAAACTGTCGGTTATTCTGGTCCTGTATCTCTGAGTTCACTTATGGATAGTAAAACTTGTTTTATATTTAAATCCATGAACACCAATAATTTTCTTTGTCTCCAAACTAAAATAGTACTAGACCTCCTTCCTTTCATTTTAGTACCTGTATAGTGTCTAGCCTAGTGATATGCATAAACTAGGTGCTCAGTGAGTATCTATGTGGAGTCTCTATCCACACTGTGAAAATGATATTGGACCTGACGTAAAATTACTGCAATGAGAAGTAAATATCACACAGAAAACACCACAAAGACCTAATTATGAATATTGGTCCTCTTTCAGTTTCTGAGCCATGTACGTCATCCTTAAGGCTGTGGTACTTGATCCTTCTATAGAGAACACCCTGCCGCAAGAGATTGGTACAATTGGCTCCCTTTTGTTATTCAGGTATCAGCCTAAATATCACTTAATCCAAGGGGCCTTACTTGACCCCTTAATCTAAGAACATTAGCCCTTTCTAGAGTTAACTTATGTCCACTTTTTTTGTTTTTTGGTTTCCTTGTAAGACTTCATGCTATATGAAACCATGTTTTGCATTTATGTGTTTATCAAGTTCTTCTTTCTAGAAGATATGCTTTACGAAAACAGATTTTGTTGTTATTATTGTTTAGTTGCTGCTCTACTTATAACACCAGCACCAATTGGATTATAGATAATTGCTGGATTAATAAATGACTGAATGTATATAGTATTAATTATAATATTACATTTTAAAGAATGGTACAGAGAGATTATAGTAAAATGGGGAAATTATATATGCACACATACAAACACATGTATATACCTATATGTATAATACACATATGTAAATCTGTGTGCTTATATACATATGCATAACATTTCTATTTACCTTTCCAAAAATGCTCAATCTTTTAGAATCAATGTATGGCTGTTTCAGTAGAAATCTGCAATGAGGAAAAAAAAACATTATATTTTCTTGAGTTAAACACACATGGGAATTCATTTTTGGCACCCACACACATGCAAATGTACACACAAAACCCAGAAGTCAAACCAGAAATAGTTTAGTGGTTGGAGCTTTATCTTGCTACTCTAAGTGATGGTCCAGTTGTTTGGGCATCACCTGGTAGGAAGATACAAATGCCGAATTGGGGACCCCATTTCAGGCCTGCAGATCTACATTTTGACAATATCCCAGTCAGTTTCTGTGTACTGGTTTAAAGAACCTACTAGTTTTCTAGGTCATTCCTGCCAGCGGGGGAATGGTGTCTGTGAAAGTTCAAGAATTATAGTTAACTGGGAAATAATAGACTTTGTAGGTTATTGTAAATAAATACTAGAGTGGTTTAATTAAGGTTGCTCCAATTTTTAAAAATCTAAAGTGAATTTTAATTCCAAGGAGGCGGAAGTTCGATAATTGTTTTATTACCTGTGATGAGTGAAAAGTACTTGAAGAAATGAATGCAAGTCTATATGACTAACTTAGAAAATTGTCTATTCACTAAAGTACAGATTGCTGTACTAAAGTACATGATTCAAAGGTAATGTATCATATACCTAGCTTCTGTCATTAAAGGAAAAACAGTAGGAAAATGCAGACCCACTTACTTCACAGCTGCTATTTGGTCCTTTACTTCCACTGAACCTAACCTTCGATGAATCTCCTGCAGAATTTTCAGGCCCTGGAATCCACTTCCTCTGCCATCAAATCGTGCCGTGATAACATTATCTGTGTCAACAAGTACTGAATCCCAGTCAATGTGGAACTTATCTGTAACCAGCTGGCCTCCTGGTTCTTCATCCCTGTAAATACCAACACATTGGACCAAAACAAGAGCAATTGACCATGTGGTAGAAATTTTAGCTTTCGCACTTACTATTTCAAAATTTTGGAAAAGACCCAGGTTGCCTATTAAAATTTCTGTTAATCCTTGATAAGAAGCCTGAAAATATCTGTTAATCCTTGATAAGAAACCTGAAAGTATAATGCCATTTTCCTTTGTAAAATTTCAAATGAAAAGTTCTCTAATGCACTGAAAACATGAAACACGATTTAAAACTGTTCATACGAGATGATTGTAACTCATTTTTCAAATGAGAGAAAGGAAGAAAAATACATTAACTTTCCATAAGCATTTCTAAAGAACAATGATCAAGTTGACATACAGGCCCTACTTTATTGGATTTCTTCCAGATAGTGTGTTTTATACATGTCTTGGAGATGGTGTACAAAGGCTAAAGGATCTGTTAGCAGAACCAGTTATGGAGACTTAATAATAATTTAACAAGCATTAAAAAGACAACAGACCCAAAATGAAGTCACTTATATTAAATTCCAAAACTTAATAAAGCCTAACCTAATTGCACTTCTAGCCTCTCCCAGAACTGGAATTTTAAACCAATGAAAATCAGGAATTTCCTTTTCAGTACTATGAAGTAATCTACATGTTAAGACCCCTCCCATAGCCCCCATCTTCCCCTTAATGGAAGGTGACCTGGGCTGAAACAATCTTTTGTGTTCTTTTGCTAAAACCCTTCTTGTCCCACCCCATCTCTGCCTATAAAATCCTTCCATTTTGTACAGGTCCTTGGGGATTCTATTTGCTAGACGGGATGCTACCCAAATCAGGAATCCTGAATAAAGCCAACTAGATCTTTAAACTACTCAGTTGAATTTTGTTTCTTGACACAATAAATGGACAATCCTAAAGACTTTCTGACTCAAATAGAAATACTACATTAATATACCCTGAATTTGTTTTTGTGGTAGAATTCTCACTAAGGAGAAATTAAGCATACATTGAGGAAATATGGTTTTTCATCACTAAAGTTAACTAGAAAAGAGAGACACAGATGTTTGAAAAATTTGAAAACTAGAAGTAAAGAAGGACACACAAATTACAAAGCATGAACATTGTCTCTGGCAGGAAAAAGTGGTACAACTTTAAAATGTCCAATTACAGTGGTACTTATATTTTACTTTCTAGAATATAGAAAAGGGAAAAAAAAGCAGAATCTCATAAAATCACAGATAATCTAGGTCCAAACATAGTTATAGTTCAAACGTTCATTTGTCCATGTGATAGATTTAAAGAGCATCAACATCTAATTTTCTGAGAACATCTCCAATTTTAGTTGAGCTATGTACCAGAAATCTTTACCCTATTCACTCTTGTAAGGATACCAATCTCTTGACTTCTTGTTTATATAAATATGTTGCTTAGAAGCACCAGTATATACCAATACATAAATTAACCCCCATCAACAAGCTTCTAGGTTATCAAATTTGCTAAGGAAAATAACTTCCGGGCAGCAAATAGAACTGAACAGATACAGGGGCCATGTGAGATCAGTGAGTTAGGTAAAGGAGGAGGTAGGAAATAGGAAAAAAAAATAGGACAATTAAAATTTACTAAAAGCTTTTATAGGCTAAATTTTGTCTCCGAAAATCTACATGTTGAATCTCTAACACCTACTGTCTCAGAATGTAACTGTATTTGGAGATAGTGCCTTTCTAGTGGTGATTCAGTTGAAATGAGGACATTAGGGTTGGCCCTAATCCATCTGACTAGTATCCTTATAAGAGAAAACTAGTACACAACAGAGACCCTAGGGACATGAACCAGGCAGAAGAAAGACTCTGTGAAGAGACACAAGAGGGAAACCAACTGCAAGCCAAGGAGAGAGGTCTCAAAAGGAATAAAATCTTCTGACACCTTGACTTTAGACTTCTATTGTCCAGAACTGTGATAAAATAAATTTTTATTGTTTAGCATACCCAGCCCTATTAAAGTAATAAAAATGTCTTCTGTGGTTTAAGTACTTGAGATCCATTATTTTACTTACTATACACTACCAGAATTTATTTAACCTTTCTGGGGATGAAGTTGTCTTTTGCATGGCTTATTTCCTGCATTATTTCTCCTATACTGTAAATAAACTGTGCCATGAAAGTGTTTAATCATGATCTCCCACCATTCCCCCCAAGTCACATAATTAGTGGTGATCCTGTGAGCCAAATCTAGATCTGTTTGGTCTTTCCACGGTGTCTTCAATCTTTAACTCTTCTTGTGATTTTATTTTTAATTTAATTTAGTTTTTACAGCATTAGCTCTTGATCAGTTTATTAGGAATTTTTACTACACATACCCACGTGCTTGTTCTAATTGCTAGAGTTCTAATTGCCTAGTTCAGAACAAAGTGCAGAATTGCTATTTTTTCCAGATTCCCAGGTGATACTAATATAACTTGTCTATCCATTGAGAAGTACCATGAATCATTATGCCTAGCACATTTTGTGGTACCTGAACACAGAAAAGGCTGTTTACCTAGATTTTTTCAGGGAAAATATACTCATGTAAAGTTTAAAATGGAAGGACTTTTAAAAAGCCTTTAGTTTATGAGGGCTGATGGGGGGTGGGAGAGAGGGGGAGGGTGGGTGATGGGTATTGAGGAGGGCACCTGTTGGGATGAGCACTGGGTGTTGTATGGAAACCAATTTGACAATAAATTTCATATATTTAAAAAAAAAATAAAAAAATAAAATGGAGAACATTTACACAAAAAAATAAATTTAAAAAAATGAAAAGCCTTTAGTTTAAATAAAGGGACTATATTTTGAAGCTTGGGGATTTACTGCAAATATTGGAAAGCAAAACATGATTCACTTCAATGATTAACTTCAATTTTTTTATTTTTTTTAACGTTTATTTATTTTTGAGACAGAGACAGAGCATGAACGGGGGAGGGCCAGAGAGAGAGGGAGACACAGAATCTGAAACAGGCTCCAGGCTCTGAGCTGTCAGCACAGAGCCCAAGGCGGGGCCCGAACTCACAGGCCGCGAGATCATGACCTGAGCCGAAGTCGGACGCTTAACTGACTGAGCCACCCAGGTGCCCCTTAACTTCAATTTTTAAACTTAGTAAAAATATGACCAGATGGTCATACTTTACTCTGAATGTTGATAGGCAAGACGCTAAGGCTCAAAGACTCTTTGTGTCCTTGTCTTTAATACTGGCAAAATACTGGCTTCCTTGTCTCAAGGAGTTTCGTGTGCATTAAATGGCATAATGTATTTGAAATATTTTACAAAATATAGTAAGAAATGTAAAACAGTGTTTAGATTTATCACACAGTAGAAACCTGTTGCTTTTCTGTTTGTGAGCAGTTTTGCTTATATTGAGCATATTTCCTTGCAGTTAAAAAACCAAAAAAAACCAAAAAAAACTATATAAAGGCTTTGGGCCAGTTGTGCAGAAATCAAACTGGGCAGTATCTGTGGATAAAGGTAATGTGTCATGTCATATGACGTATTATGTCAGATGGACCAATGATACCTAAAGACTTCTAAGAAAATATAAAACTGTAATGAACAGACCCTTTGGAGTGAGATCACACTGTAAAATGTTTTGTTGATATGTAAGATAATAGTTTTCCAATTTATATATGAACCCCATTGAATTGTTCACAGCAGTTTAATGAGTTGGGTTCAAAGCTAATGTACGTGTAGACAAAATGTTAATTATAGACATTTTATGGCAGGCAAATTATCTTAAGATACAGTTTAAAATAAGGCACATTTTTCAAACTTAATGATTAATAAATGTTTGTAGATTTTTATAAACAAAAACCTTTAATCCCTTAAAGTTTGCAATACCCAAAGAAAAAATACAATTCCACTCCTTTGGTATTTTCTCTTAATTGCCATGTTTAACTTCAACATTGTCTTTACAGTTTTCAGTGTTAGAATACAAAATGATATCAATACATTACCAAAGATCTTAACACATTTCATCCATCTAGTTGGGTTTATTGTTTGTTCTTTTTTGGTGTATGTTACAAGCATATCTATTTCAAGATGAGTTATCAAAGAACATGAATTATGCTAAGCATTGTTCTTATAAGGAAAAAGCCAGACAATTGCAGGAACGGGGTGGAGATTCTTCACAAAGTGTTGAGCAAGAAATACTAGATTATTTTTCTGCAAATGAAGGCAAAAAATACTGCTTATTCGGTGAGATAGAAATAGTAAGACACGTGGCAGTGAGAATGAACACAAAGAAGTACTCCAAATCACCCACCAATAAGAGGGGGCCACGACTCATTTATTTTGGTCATGTAGAATTGGTGAGCTCCAGTTTATTTTGTTCCCTTTTGTCTTTCTCTGAGTGTCACCTTCATCTTTGTAAATTTTTTTAAGATCTAAGTGTTTATATATAATTTTTAAAAATCTTAATTCTAGGGGCGCCTGGGTGGCGCAGTCGGTTAAGCGTCCGACTTCAGCCAGGTCACGATCTCGCGGTCCGTGAGTTCGAGCCCCGCGTCGGGCTCTGGGCTGATGGCTCAGAGCCTGGAGCCTGTTTCCGATTCTGTGTCTCCCTCTCTCTCTCTCTGCCCCTCCCCTGTTCATGCTCTGTCTCTCTCTGTCCCAAAAATAAATAAAACGTTGAAAAAAAAATTTTTTTTTTTAAAAATTAAAAAAAAAAATCTTAATTCTAGTATAGTTAACATATGGTATTGTATTAGGTTCAGGTCATCTTCCTGCACTATTTTGTTTTACTCTCTGTCTCTGAAAACTCTGGGGACTCATAGAAAGGAGGGCGTTTCAAGGCTGAGAGTGGGGACATACAATTTTGTTCAAAACTGTGGTAAAAGAACAATTACATCTGTTTTAAGCAGTGGAAAGATCACAACATTTATTTCCTAACCCAGGTAGGAAATAAAGTGCTTTCCACTTAAGCAGTGGAAAGATCACAACATTTATTTCCTAACACAGGTAGAAAAATAAAATTACTACTAAGCT